AGGCACCTTAAGGAATGCCTCATCATCAAAAGTAAAGTCGTCAGATAGCATTTTCAAAATAAGTAGGGTTTGATGCACCAAACCCCCTCGTGAAATAAAAATTCGGCGCATTAGCCCCCTGTGATTTAAAAAATGCGTCAAACCCCCATGTGTTATAATTAATCATGCGCCAAACCCCCTCTAAGAACAAATTTAATTTCCAAAAAAAATGAAAAATGGTTAGTTTTTTGTATAATTGAGAAATTTTGACAAAATTACTTGCATATTTAATCATATTATTAAAAAAATGATTTCAAAATTTTAAACTTTGTTCTTGGAGGGGGTTTTGCGCATGATTTATCATAACACCGGGGGTTTGACGCATTTTTTAAATCACAAGGGGTTAATGCGCCGAATTTTTATTTCATGAGGGGGTTTGGTGCATTAAACCCAAATAACTAATCTACCAAAGATATTATAAGGTCCTTCGGTAAAAACCTTAGTTCTATCCTGCTCATTCTTAAATTTAAAAACCACCCACCCCTTGTCATGGGATTTCAACGTACAATGTACGCCCCATCTGTTCATAAGCTCATATATCGCTTTAAGTCCCGGGAATCTACCTGTAAAGCATCCAACTAGGCAAAAACCCCACAACGAGACCATAGAAGGTAACACACAATTTGAAAGATCAACAACTTCATCGTCGGAAGGTAGATATTTCAATTTAATACCTTTAGACGGAGCATGATTGTCTCTAAATAATTTTGCCCATTGTGGGGTAGATCCAGCGGGCCTGGAAGCAGGTGCTGCTACTTCCCCGCTTGGCCCAGGATTAGTTACCAGAGTCAGCCCCGGTAGCTTGGAAGCAAAAATGGGCTTCCCAGGTACAACAGCACTTCCAGATTCTTTGGAAGCAGAAACGGGCATCCCAGGCATAGCAGCAGCCCCTGCAAATGTGTTCACAGTCTTCTCGTCCCCTGCCTTAGCCTTCACACCCTTCACACCCTTCACAGCAGTTCCAATCAGAGCTGGGAACTCGTTGTCTGAGTCCTCCAAAACAGAGAAATTGGACCTAGTTATCCTAGCTGTGGACGCCTCACCCGTTCCTTGTATCTTCTTCCTCGCCATGGTAAAGGTACAGAAAATCACAGAGCAGAGAACCTGTGTTGAAAGACCCGAACCGGACCGGCCGGTTCGACCCGGAAACCGGTCACCCGGCCTTATGTCCGGTCCGGTTGACCATCGACCCGTAAATCTGAGTAAAACCGGGATTAACCAGTAACCCGCCCGAACTCGTGACGGAACCGACCCGTCTCAAACCCGGATTATGCAAAAAAAACCCGGAAAATCTTCACCAGCGGGAGTCGAACCCACGCCACTTGCTTCAATTTTAAGCTGGCAAACCGACGTGCTACACAAGCCAGTTGGTAATTTTGGTTGTTTAGCTCTTTTATAAACTTTTAAGCCTGGAGTATTTTTATTAGTGTTAGTTTATTAGGTCAATAATTAATCAAATTATAATTTAATACTAATAAATACAAATCAATGATATTCTTAACATCCAATTATGTATATAATCTCCCAATATATTTTGTAATTGATACTCCATATTATGTTCATATTTATTATTCATCTAAATCCCAATGTATTTTCAATGTTGTAAAAATCAATATTCTTAAATACAAAAGGTTTTTACATTACTTATATTTTATTATCTTTATTAAATTATGAAGGAATACACTTTTTGTAATAATCAATTTAATCTTTTTATATACTTGTAATTAATTTTTATATGTATTGGTGTTGATCGGGCTTACCGGTCGTTGACCGGGTTGACCCACCGGGTCCGGGTTGACCCGCCGGGTCCGGGTTGACCCGCGACCCAGTCTTCTATCTGGGTCACTCTCCGGTCCGGTTTTTACAACATAGCAGAGAACAGTAACAACAACGCCTCAAACTTACGCAGTTGGCTTTTCAGCCAAAATCGCCGAGAACAGTAAGAAGCCATCGTCCATCATTGAGAGCCAAAAACAAATCATGAACAGTAGTCGGTCGTAATACGTCGTATTAGGTCAAAAAGCGTCTTCAAAACTGGAATCGAAGCACGGAATCAGAATTTGACTGTAAATATGAGTCGGAAACTAACAGCTAACCTTCGAAATCCATCAAATGATCCATGGAAAACCTGTTGCGTACGAAGAAGAACTGGGTCGCCGATGAGCCCAGGAGAGAGACTCTCTCAACTTCGCGTATTGTATTTCATCTAGGTATGGACCGGGACCGGTGAACCGGTACGAGTTCTGGGCCTAGGACTAGCCCGGCGTGTAAGGGCGGGCGGCTCCGGTCTGACCTCCCTTTGAATCGGTCCGACTGGGTTGGGCCCCCTCCGAGCCTTTTTTTTTCATATTTTTGTAGGCCGGTTGGGCTGGGTGTTTTGGGAGGGGGGGGGGGTTGGGGGGGTGGTGAGGGGGGGAGCGGTGGGGGTTAATTAAAAAGGTAAAAAAAATTACCCGGTGGAATCCCGAGCCGATTCCGGGCTTGTAGCCAAACCCAAAAAGCCCGACAAGGACTGTCCCGGCCCAGCCCCGGGGCCGGTGCATGCCTAATTTCATCTACAAAACACTTCATATAAAAAAGAGATGCTTTGGACACATATTTCTTTGCACCATTTCTTTGCTCGGATCCCGCCAGCCCGACGCTACGTCTAGGGGTGGACTCGGGTCGGGCCAACCGGCCCGGAACCGGCCTGGACCGGTACTGTTTGTACCCGACGGTCAAATAGCGGTCCGGGCTCGGGCCTGCGTGTGTGTGAACCTGCCCAGCCGGCCCGGGCCCGGTCCAGGCCTCAACGGTCAATTTTTGTTTAAAACAAAAAAATTAAATATTTAGAGGCTCTATAGCAGTTGGGACTGTTCCCAAACGGCTCTATAGCCGTTGCGAGCATAGGAGGGGGGGTCTGGGGGGTTAGGGGGGGTGGGGGTGGGGTATACAAAAAAACCTATTTATACTCCTATTTTCTATACATTTTTACACCTCTTCTTCTACAACTCTTCCTACTCTCTAATTCTCTATTCTCTCAATCTCTCATATTCAATCATCTTCATTCTTCATCTTCTCCAAATTCTTTCTACATATATATAATTTATATAATTATTATATCTACTTATATATTAATTATCTACTTATAAATATATACTTATACACATTGATATTATAATTCTTTACACATTATATATACTATATATACTTATACACATTCATATTTACTTGATATTTAGTTATTATCCATACTATTGTTATTTACTTATATTTACATATTACATTTTGTTAATATATACTTATATATATATATATATATATATATATATATATATATTAAAGTATTAAGTATAAGTGTATTACTCATCTTATAGTAACATACTTATATATTATATACTATAAACATTATATTATATATTACTCACGAAATATATTATTCACATATTCCGCATATATATGGTATTGCATTTGTTCTTAATCCTCGTTATAAACTTGCTTACTTGGGAACTTCTATAGATTACTATTATGCTTCTTTTTTTCAAACTCAAGAGTTCGATGATAATCCCATCGACCCTAAACAAGAATACAACGAGGTTAGTAATTTATTTCATCAATTGTATAATGAATTTCATGCACAATATGGTAATGCACCCCCTCCCATGCCGTGAACATCTTCTTCCTCTAAAAGAAAATCACTTTTAAAATCTGCATTTGGTTCTCTTTTGAAAAAAAGTAGAGCTACTCCCGCTACTGAACAAAGCTTAGTTAACGAGCTTTCTTTGTATCTAACATTGAATGTTGATTATGAAGTTGAGGATGACTTTGACGTTCTTAAGTGGTGGAAGGAAAATGAAAGAATGTTCCCGGTTTTATCAAAGATGGCTAAGCAAGTGCTAGCAATGCCGATATCAACAGTTGCCGTGAAACAAGAATTTAGTGCGGCCGGCAACATCCTAACCGATTATAGAACGAGATTGAACTCGAGCTCTCTTGAGACGCTAGTTTGCTTCCACGATTGGTTGAAGGCCCAACGAAGAACTCAAGAAATGACCATCGCTCCCACCCGCCACTTTATGGAGGAAATAACCACCGAAGGCGGAGATTCCGATTGATTTTTTATTACAAAATGTATTACATTTATTAAATTCATCCTAATTCTCAATTGTACTTCTTATTTGAAATAAATATACTTGAATTATTTTATATTATTGTGTACATCAATTCAATAATCAACAAAAAAAATTATTCAATAATCAATTCAATAAAACTAATTTGTAAACTTGTACTCCATATTTCAAATAAATATGCGTTCATTTTTTCATATGTAGCACTTCTCAAATTAATTAATTGGTTACAAACTTACAAGTTACAACTTCACATTATTTTTGTAAAATCTAAAGGCTCTTTTTAAATTAAAAATACATTTACAATTTGTAATTTGTTTAAATACTTATACACCTATTTTGTAACATTTGTAAATTATAAATCAAACCACTTTTCTAAGTAAAAATAGTTTTACTTAATTCATTAAATTAATTAACTTATTTTACAATATGTATAATTTTCAAAAAAAAAAAAATTAAAGACATTTTAAATTACAACATAGCTCCCAAACGGCTATATAGCCGTTGGGGCTTAGGGTGGGGGGCAGGGGGGGGCTCAGGGGTGGTGGTGTGGGGAGTGGGGTTCAAAAAATTTTATAAATACATCTATTTTCTACCATTTTTTATTTTTTCTACACCTCTTCTCCAACTCTTCTCTATCTTCATCTTCTCTTATAATCCTACATTCCTACTTATACATCTACCATTTTAAAGATGGAAAGTAATTCTTCTCTTATGCAAAACAATTTTGATAAGTGGAAGGACCCGAAGACCGGACTGTGGTGGGCAACTTGCAAGTGGTGCAAGAAAGAGTGTTGCTTGGGACGTTCACATAGAGTCGGGATGCCAATAAAACATATGAAGTCATGTGACAAAGGCAAAACAACAACCAACGGTGGCGGAAATCCGTATTGATATTTATTAGAAAATGTATTTCATATTGTTATTTTTTTCTCAATTCTCAAATGTACTTCTTATTTCAAATAAATGCACTTGAATTTTGTTTTTTTTATAAGAATTTGTATAATAATATAACATATAATTAAAAAAAATAATAATAATAAAAGGCCCGGTCCGGCGGGTGGCCCGACCCGTGACCCGGGCGGGTGACCCGGCCCGAACCGGACTCGGGGGTTACCCGGGTCAGTTCCGGGCCTCCCCTTTCCTGAACCGAGGCCCGGCCGGTCCTAGGCCCGGCCCGGGTCCATCCCTAGCTACGTCTTTCAATATAATTATGTATGTTTATATCGCCTCTGTAAGTACCGAGGGCGGGACCTCACTTTCTATCTGTCAGATTGTGATTATAGTTCAATTTACATCTTCTCATCGTGCCGTCCGGTCGGTGTTGGGGCCCCTCAGGGATGGGGTGTCATCTTTTTTTTTTTTTTATGAATGTTTATATCGTGCATACTGGCTAGTGGCCACAAGACACCAGTCCTTCACCGTTATGGATCTTCAACTACTACGAAAATCTACAACCTTCTTTTACATGTTTGCCAATAAAGAATGATCTCAAAAAGTCCTTCGTGTACAAGAAATACAACCATAAAACTCAGCAACTATATTTGTGAGCTTCACATATGATCTCTTGGCGTATATTTTACCCTTTTGTGCATCACTCAACTTCCGTCTGCAGCTGCTGCTATTAATGAGAACTTTTGAAGGATTGCTAGAGTTTCCTCCAGGGCGCTGACATAACAACAGTAGAAATACTATGTATCGTTAAGTTCTTAAGCATTAAAAACACATACATTTTTAATACTCCCAAATATTTGACAAATAACACAGTGAAGCTTTATGCACTACAGACCAAGAAAGCCTTCTGATACCATCCCTATATATGAAATGTGTTCTTTAATCGCTGAGTACTCGCTCAATTCTCCTATTCCGGGTAGGGCCTTGCTGATAAATACTCTGACTCGCACTGATTTTCTCTACTGGTTACAAGGTTTTTGCTTGACGAGTTAAAGATATTTTTATTTGCACTGAAATTTGTTGGTCTGGTCTGAACTGGTCTGGTAAATGTCTGGTCTATGTTTATTTTATAGTTATGGATGTCTGGTCTACTTTGATCTGGTCTGTTTAAACCTGATCTGGTTTGATGTGGTCTGTTTAAATCTGGTCTGGTATTGAAAACAATCCAAGTAACAACATTCTTACATGACAGCCAATAAGTTGATTTTTTGGGGTTAAATCTTAAAAACTAAAACTACATGATTCATGAAATTCATGAATAATTTGTACTTGTTTGAAAAAATAAAAAAATGAGATTATAAAGCTGGTCAAGATTCACGGACATGGAGGATGAGAAGAAAATAATGACGAACTCAATGAAGGTTAGTTTAAGTTGGTATATTAGGTGATTGATTTTAGTGGAAGTTAAAATGTTTATGATTGTTAGGATTTGTTACTACTTCATTATTAAAATTGAAATTTTTAATCATTACTACTCCCTCAATAAAGTGACAACTTTACTCTTATTTCTTACCCTTTTAATTTCCATCCCACTTACCCAAGCGCACCCACCTCTTATCTCTTCCACCACCTTCTCTCTTCCCCTCATATTCAATTTCAATGTTAGTCTCACACGGCCTCCATTTCTGTAAAATATAGTCTCACACGGTCACACCTTTCTCCATAGCCAGAGAAATTATTTCCCTCTTTGAAGATGAAGAAGGATAAAGAGAAGAGGCTCCCTCTTGTTCCATCAAGTCTGGCTCTACTCTGGTTCAAAATACGAAAATCCCCAGGTCCGACGCACCTCTTTGACAGACTTCATCTCAGGTGAGTCACCGCTGACTGCCGTCCTTAGAAACTCCTTCGAACTTATTAATGAGATATTTGCTTCGCGGACAACAGTTGCTCAGTTGGAAGCTTGAGTAGCTGTTGGGGGTGATGGAGAGGCCGCTGCCGGACATCCGCTGGAAGCGAATAAGTGGATCTGGCCATTATCTTTGGTCGGACATGTTGTAGGCCGGGCGGGTTTGTGTTGGTCACCAACTAATCGTTGATGAAGAAGGAAAAAGGAAGACCAGTGTGGACTGTGCAGTCTGTGCCCGACAGATGTTGCAGTTGGGCTAAAATTTTCATTTTTACTTATTTTACTTGTTTTAAAAAAGGGGTAAAATGGTAAAGTAAATGTCAATCTCCGCACTTTCTTAATCCGCGTGCCGATCAACTTTTGCAATTCAAATCGGGACGGAGGGAGAAATATATTCTCTCTGTCCCATTTTATAAGATGTCTTTACTATTCACTTGATCAACACAAATCACTCTTAATCTCTTACTTTATATATCAAAATTTTATGAAATTTGAATTATTTTTTGCAGGTTTTGTAGCAGTTTTAATTTAGTTTTTGAAAATGTAATTTTTATTTTCTAAAATTAATTTGAGTGCACACAGGAATCCGTTTGCTTTATCGTCGGTCAAACATCGTAAACCGAAAAGTATCTTATAATTCGGGACGGAGGGAGTATTAATATAGGGTCAAGTAATCCTCAGCATATTTGTCACCGCGCCAGCCGACCGCCATATCATCTAGGCAGTAAGGCACCCGCTTAGGCGACTAGTCGCACATTGTATAACATATTACTACCTCCGTCCCTTTTATATTGGGACGGAAGAGAGTGTCACAATTTTTAAGAAAAGTGGATTTGTGTGGTTAGTATTAATTGATAAAGTAAGAATGATTTTGAGCCATACAAACTTTACCAAATATGGTATGGGACAATTTTAGTGGAACTTCCCGAAAAGATAAAACGGGACAATATAAGGGGGACCGAGGCAGTATATATTTGTATATATAATTATATACAATGCATGATATATTACAACATTTATCTCACTAATATTACTTCATCTTTCTTTTTCGGTTCACCTCACTAAATTTATTACATACTCTCTCCCCCGTAATATTGGGACGGAAGGGAGTGATGTGGTTTTTAACAAAAAGTAGAATTATGTGGTTAATAATGAAGAATAAAGTAAGAATGAATTAGAGACACAAATTTTACCAAATAAGGTATGTGACAATAATAGGGGGACATTCAAAAATGGAAAAAATTATAGGGGGGCGGATGGAGTACTAAATTTGGTAAAGTTTGTGTGGTTCTAAATCATTTTAGTTATTCTTACTTTATCAGTATCAATCACATAACCCCACTTTTTCATAATAATCGTGTTACCTCCTCATGTCACAATGTTAGTGGGACGGAAGAAGTACTAACTAAATGGTATACAACTTAGATTTGAAACCCACAATTAATAAATGAAAACCAGGTTTATTAATAGGAAATAAGATTAAAAATGTCTCTCAAATAAGCATTGTAAAGACTACTAAGTTCTCAAAAATCATCAAAGACTAAATCATCTTTACGATATTCATCGCCCTCATCATCATCACGAGTAGGAGTAGATGCCTAGATGGTGTTTGGCCATAGTCGTCTAAAAGATCTTCATTATCATTTAGAAAATTATCTTCTTTTTTTCATATCTTCGTCAATCAACCTTAATGAAGAATTTGAACCACGGAGTCTATAATAAATTTGTTCTCCGCGAGATTTACCAATTCTAGGAAGATTATGACCCTCAAGATTGCTTGGTACACCTGCAGCTTCATCAACTTGACTCCATAAATGATAATCATCGAGATGAACAACATCATTGCTAACCCATTCATTGTCCCATTGGAACCCTTCAAATATTAACAGGTTAAAGCTCGTTCCTTGTTCACACCACATCTGAAACCTAGTTGCTATCCTCCAATTATACTGAATAAAAACAGTCATTCAACCTTTCATGCTCCAACCTGCTTTTTTTGTATGAATCTAAAAAAGTGTATGTTTGATTAGTATTGTAATTTAATTAGTCAAATCTTATGTAATTTGTAATTGTAGTACTACTACTTATAAACTCAAAAGTACTCCAATTAAGCTCACAGGCATAAGAGGTACAACAGAGACCAATTATGTGTTTTGCGAATGATTGCAGTTCAACAGTGAGTCCACCAAAAGCAATCTACCAATCAAGTATAAATTAGTCACAAATATAATGTTTCTTCACAATTCTTTAATGCTCCATAAAAAATGCCAAAACAAAAAAAAGTCAATTTCCTCCCTCATTCGCAAAACTCCTGAGGGAGGTTGTTGATGAAAGACATGTGAAAGGCCCCACGCAAAGTACATTATCACAATGTACAAAAAGAAAGGAGGATAAAGAGAGGGTCATCGTGCACATAGCTGATTTTTTAATGGTAACGGCATTCCTTGCAATGCAGCAAACCCCAGGAGCTATGAGATCATGGCGGAGTCAATTGGGCAGTACCAAGACTTAAGCCTCCTAATTATCATAACTTGCGTGTACCACTTCTTCAGAAAGCAAAGACAGAGACAGTATGAGAGAAACATGAGGTTGCTTGGAACGAATACGAACGCACACTTATGTCCGATGGATGGTCTGGCCGAATCTAGCGACACCTGATTAATTTCCTTGTCCAGAAGGCACTTTTTTTAGACTCAATTGATGCATCAAATAAATTTCAAGATGCAAGATTGTTAGCAGGTTTGCTTGGGAGAAAAATCGAAGAAGTTGGAGTAGATCTAAATTGGTTGCCACAGAAGCAGGAAAGAAGGTAAGTGATATTGTATTATCTACTAGATTCTGGAGTGCAATGGAAGATTGCATAAGAGCTTCACAAGCACTTCTAGTTGTCCCGAGGATAGTAAATGTCGATGAAAACCTGACTATGCCAGAGCTTCCAATAGCCATGGATTATTACAAGAAAAAATTCAGTGAGTCAATTCAAAACAAGCCTAGAATTTTGAGAAGTCTAAATGGAGGTCAAAGTATAAGGGGCAGCTTTGTTTTTCAATCCTAAATATTTCGATCTCAAACAGACAAATTCAGCATCTGCATCAGGGCAACGAATGATGTTTAAAGACGTGCTTGAAAAGTTGGTCACTAGTGAAACACTACAAACCAAGATAAGTCATCAAAAAACAAATTACGACAAATTGTGAGGAAGTTTTGCAAAAGCAACTTGTCAAGCAACAAAAAACTAAGAGTCAATTGAAGTGATATTGTTATTATATTTAAAAAAGTAAACATATTAAAATGTAACTAATATTTTATTGTGACTAATTTATAATTTATTGATGGGATGTTATTGGTGGACTCACGACTGAACTGCAATCATTCGCAAAACACATTGTTAGTCTCTGTTGTACCTCTTCTAGATGTGAGTATAATTGGAGCACTTTTGAGTTTGTAAGTAGTAATATTTGAGTACCAACTACAATTACAAACTACAAAGGAGGATTTTGACTGATTAAATCATAATACCAATCAAATATATTTTTATTTTTTTTAGATTCATATAAAAAGATTCATTATTTTTTGGCTTGAGAATATGATGGAATAAAGCAAAATGGCTCACTAACTGTCTGCACTTCTTTGTTATGAAGCATCAGTCAGTCCATGCAATTTTGGACGCGATTTTCACTACGGGTCATCCGGAAACAATTTTTATGTGCTTGTACAGGGGTAAGACTGCGTACATCCAACCCCCCCCCCCCCTACCCCACCATAGGTGGGAAGCCTTTGCGGCACTGGGGTAAATGAAAATGAAAATGAAATGATAGATTCATACAAAAAGAAGAAGCACGTTGGAACATAAGTGGTTAAATGACTTGATTTTTATTCAATATAATCGGAGGATAGCAACTAGATTTCAAAAGCGGTTTGAACAAGAAACGAGCTTCAACTCGTTAATATTTGAAGAGTTTAAATGGCCAATGGGACAATGAATGGGTCAGCAACGATGTTGCTCATCGCAGTAATGATCTTTTATGAAGTCAAGTTGATGAAGTTGCAGGTCCATCAAGCAATCTTGAGGGTCGTAATCTTCCTAGAACTTCTAGCTCTCGTGGAGAATTGGTCTATTATCGACACCATGATTTGACTTCTTCATTAAGGTTAATTGACGAAGACATGAACAAGAAGAAGACGATTTTCCAAATGATGATGAAGATGTTGAAAATGACTAATGGTCAAGCACCACATACTCCTACTCGTGATGATGATGATCAGGGTAATGAAGGGCATAGAGATGAATCTGGTGATTTAGTCTTTGATGCTATTTGAGAACTTAATAGTTTGATCTTTTCAGTGCTTATTTGAGACTGACATTTTTAATCTTAATTCCCATTAGTAAACCTTGTTTTCAATTATTAATTGTGGATTTCAATTCTAAGTTATATACAATTTAGTTAGTAATATATAATTATATATATATATAATTATATATTGGTATAATATACTACCTCCATCCCGGTAGACTTTGTCAAGTGCATAGCAGGTGAGAAATAAGAATAGTAAAAACTATGTGGTTGAGATTTGTGCAGAGGAGAGAGAAATGTGCAGAACCATAAATTAGTTGCTTTAATAGGAATGTGGCAAAATTTTTTGGGTTTTTGTCTTGAATATTACTAATAAAAGGGCAAAAAGCAAAAAAAATGATCTTTTTAAAAAATTCCTGAAATGTGACTAATAAGTGACAAGCTTGCTTATATACACACTGCTACAGTGACACAAGACACAGTGACATCCACCCTCCTTGCCACTGTAGCCGCCACTCGTGTCACTGTGGCCGTCGCTCGTGTCACTGTAGCCGCCGCTCGTGTCACTGTAGCCACTACATGTGTCACTGTAGCCACCGCACGTGTCACTAAAGCCGCCACTGCCTGTGTCACTATAGCCACCGCTCGCGTCACCGTAGCCGCCGCCGCACTGTGGCCACCGCCGCAGGTCACAGTCACCGCCGACGGCACCGCCCATTACCTCCACCTCGATAAACTCTGGCCACCTACAGCTACCACCGCAACATTCCGGCCACCACCGCAACATTCCGGCCACCACCGCAACATTCCGGCCACCACCATAACACCCAGTCACCGCCGCAACACCCCAACCCAGCCCCACAAGCCCTGCCCCATCCCCATCAGCCCTGCCCCACACCACTGGACCTGCCCCTGCCCCTGCCCTCAGCCCCCAAACCCAATCGACAATTCCCAGCCCTAGCCCCCAACCGCCATCCCACAACGTCCACCAGTAACCTAGCCACAAACTCCACTGATTTAGATTCCGAACATCCCATCCCAGACCTGAAATTTTAACCGATAAAAACGACGAAGAAGCCCCCAAAATCGAACAGATTGAAAAGAAATAGAAGCAGGGGCCACGGCGATGACGACGACGACTGCGGCGTTCAAGGACGGTTGAAACCAGATGCGACGGACTAGGGATGGTGGTGATTCAGACTGACGATCTGGAGGTGGAGATGTCATCTTCGGCGCATCTTTGTCGAAGGATGTTGTTTGGAGCTGTGGAGATAACCGATCTGGAGGTGGAGCTGTCATAACCGGCTTTTGAGAGAGAGGTTTGGGCGACGAGGATACGGATGGAGACGATGATGGATGAGCTATGGCGCAGGGGAGACGGATGGCGTAGGGGAGACGGATGGCGCAGGAGAGGCGAGTTGTGTAGATCTGGATCGGGAAAGAAGGATATGGTCACTTTTTTGTGAAGTCTAAAAGAAGTCATATTTTTGCCTATTAAAACCTTATAGGTTATATTTGGGCCATAAATGGAAAATTGTTTTCCTTAAATAGCTTTTAACTAACAAAGAAGTCATTTATGTACAAATATAACATCTAACGCACAAAAACAAGAAAACAAATCAAAATGTATGAGGAACATGAAGCCCTATTCTAGAAAGAGAGGTTTTCCATAGAAGTTACAAAAAACCATTCAAATATTTTACTCAAGAAAAATGTCTTTCCGTACCAAACCCATGAATGTCGAGAAAACCTTTTCAAGATAAATATATGGCGTTTGGACAGAAAAGAATAACAAAAATTTGATTGCTTTTCAAATTTTTTAAAAAGGTGATTGTGGTGATACCGCCTCACATGTCAGTATGTCACTATGACCTGCAGTTTCCGGTGACCTTGCAACAATCTTTTTCTAGCAACTTTTTGTGATGGATTTTCCCATTGATTTTGTTGGTATGTTTCTGGCAAGAGTCCGAACGGAGGCGGGGAGGATAATAAGAGAAAAGCTATTTTGGTCATTATTTAGTCAGTTTGAAGGTTATTATGGTTTAAGATTGAGATATTACCCAAAATGGGACTAAAAAAGTTTGGAAATTCCAAAATAAGACTTCCGTGTTTTTTTTTCGTAAATAGGACTAATTACTGTCATGTTTTGGCAGTACCAGACTTCAAACATGGCAGTATTTTCCAAATTTGGCAGTGATTAGTCCTATTTTGGGAATAAAAACATGACAGTCCTATTTTGGAATTTTCAATCTTTTTTAGTCCCATTTCGGGAACTTTCCCTTTAAGATTATTTAGTCAGTTTTTTAAGAAATATTTGAAGGTTGTCATATTTTCTTGAAAAGCTATTTTGGTCATTCTTTCTAAACATATTTTCGTGGAAACAAACGGAGCCTTAAACAAAGCCAAGTTTGCATGCTTACCTTCCAGATCGTAATATCTTGTACTTTCCTTGTTTAGTGAGATCCACCACGGTGGAACCTGCACGCCTAGCTGGAAGAACACCACCATCAAAGATATACGCGCAGTGCCCCCAGAGGTTCTCAAAGTCTCTGATCTTGATGCTGCTAGCTTGACCACTAAGATTTGCGCTTGTAAGTGCAAGTGCACTTCCAGAACAGCGGGCAATTACCCTAATAAAGTTATTATCTGGTACTCTAACTCCTATGCTCTCAACTCCAGGGTTTAAAGATTTCTCAAGGATACTTGACTCACCTGCAAATAAATTCAGAAAATTGATATTTGGGTACATGTACCATGCCTTCTGCTACAATGCCTAAGCTAAGGCTCCGCTTGTTTACAGGAAAATATCTTTTCATGGAAAATGTTTCCCTGGGATTCAGGATATGCTTTCTTGGAAAATATGTTGTTCTATACTTCTATGTATGTAAGTATGTTTTGCACATAAAAATAGAAACGTAAAAACTGTTTTAAGAATAAGGTGAGTTATTTTTCCAAAAACTGCACAAAAGCACGATTTTTTTCCGCAATATCAAAGAAATATCCGCCCAAGAAAAGCTTTCCATGTCTCTAAAACAGGGAAACCAAAATGTGTTCTCGAGGAAATAAATTGTATTGGAAATGAACAGAGCCTAAACAGAAAAAGACACAAACCTCGGCTTAGCACAAGAGTAACAGGACCAGGAAGGAGAGAGTGAAGCAAGCCGTTGGGTAAATGATCAGTGAACGCATACTTGTGAATGTCATGAACATCCCCAACACAAATGGCAAGTGGATTTGTATACTTGCGCCCTTTAATCTCATATATATGATTAACTGCCTTGGCAGAACTGCGATAACAACATACAATGTTAAAAGAAATCATGCGAGTGTATAGAAATCTGCGAAGTAGATATGCTTTGGGATTCAGTACCAAACTTAAAGAGAAACAATCCTAAATTATCCAATTTAGCATTTACTGTTCAAGGTACGGAGTAAATAAATTTACATAGACAAGTAAAATGGGTGTCCCTATTCCTACACCATTGACTTCAAACCGTACCCTCTCAATAATAGCAAAATTTCTTTCTTGCGCAGTTTCACCTAACAATAAACATAAAATATGACACACTGTGAATGATAGAGATGAAGTTAACTGAATGGAACTCCAGCACAGAATCACAGTTCAGATTGCACAAAGAAACAACACTTACGAAAGACAATGCAGGAGGACAAGTATTTCATTTAACGAGCTATATTGAAATAGTAAAAACGGGTCAACTTTAAGGGAAATAATGGATGGGACTTACCAAGCGTCACAAGCAAAGCCATAAAGTGTATCAGTGGGGACAGCAATAACATGGCCAAACTTTATAGCTTCAATTGCAGCATCAGCATAACCTTCTATTGCCGGTCTCACCACTCCCAAATTCATCTTATCGCCCAAACAAACCCCAACCAATCCCCTTTGGCGCTGCCCTGATCTCGAAATACCAATTTTCCTGCTCACCCCTGAAGGCCCAAAGATAAATAAAAAATCTTGAACACCAAAAAATAAGCATTTATACCAAGATACTATTGGTTCTGTTATGTATCTTCATCAGCCTTATTCAGCAGAATAAAAACTTTTGACTTATTGATTTGGCCAGAATTAATGTCACCAAGCGCTTTTCCTTTAAGAAAATCTAAGGGATTATTCTTCCATTTCAATCAAATACTTTTTACTAAAGGCCCTATATTTGTTGAGTAAATAACAAAGAGAAAACAAAAAGATTTAGTGATGTGCAAATATGCATGATATGAGAGATTGTGAAGAACCTAGAGAGGGCAGGAGAAGAGGGGCAAGGAGAGACACTCGCTGGGCAATTCTTATGCTTTCAGGGGGAAGGTTCATCAGCAACTTCTACTTTTTGCTTGCGGCTTTGCTTTGGAGACTCAGAAGATTTTGGCACGAGCTTTTGAAAACAAGCCTATGCCATATTCCATTACGAAAATATTGAATTGAAAGATGTATTATGTAAAATCTTATAAGTCCTCCACATAGCTAAAATTCTAAGATGGATTTATTGTGAGTGTATACACATAACCTCATATTCTTAGATGCATAATAACGATATATTGGATATATCATATCATCATCATTATCATTACCCAATGCCGCAAAGGCTCCCACCTACGGTGGGGTAAGGGGGGTCGGATGTACGCAGTCTTACCCCTATACTAAAGCACATAGAGACTGTTTCCGGATAACCCATCGTGAAAATCACATCGAAAATTGCATGGACTGACTACTGCTTCATAACAAAGAAGCGCAGACAGTTTAATGAGCCAATTTGCTTTATTTCATCATATTCCCAAGCCAAAAAATAGCGAGTCTTTGGCTCCATTGCAAATGATGGAAATATATTGGATATACGTAGTATCATATATTCATAAAAATTAAACATGTTAACATCGATATTGGACTCCTCACCCCATTGTTTAAAACCTGTGTTTAAAGAACCGGACCGGACCGGGCAGTACGACCCGGAACCGGACCACCCGGCCAATTATCCAGTCTGGTTAACCTCTAAACCGTTAATATGCCTAAACCCGGAAATACACGGCGAACCGTGTACCCGCACGGGAACCAGCCCGGTCCAGACCCACTAAATAGCAAAAAACCCGAAAGTAATGACGCCTGAGGGAATCGAACCCGTGCCTCCAGCCTTTCAAATTCCTTCCCATCCGCTGCACTACACTTGCTTGTTGTTATAATGTTGTACTTACTGCATTTTATACCTTTTAAAACTTGCAACTTTTTTTACTCTACATAAATAAACTAAATAATAGAACAATCATAATTCATACAAACTAATTCTATTAATGTACTTCCCAATTATGTATATCATATTCCAAATATATTTGTTTAATTTGTTTATTTTTTGTAATTGGTGTTATGTTTATTTTGGTTATTCACATAATTTTAATTTTATACCTTTTAAAACTTGCAACTTTTTTTACTTAATAAATAATAGAACAATCATAATTCATACAAACTAATTCTATTAATGTACTTCCCAATTATGTATATCATCTTCCAAATATATTTGTTTAATTTGTTTATTTTTTGTAATTGGTGTTATGTTTATTTTGGTTATTCACATAATTTTCATTGTATTTTAGACTTTGTTAAAATCAATACAATTGTTTTTTATTTTTCTTATATTTTATTATCAATTTTAAATTATAAGGGAATACAAATTTTTTATTTATGAATTTAATGTTTTATATAATTATATATACATGCATATATATATATATATATATTTAAATATTTAATTATTAGTGTTGACCGGGTTTCGGTTCATTGACCGGGCTGACCCGCCGGGTCCGGGTTGACCCGTGACCCAATCTGATAGGGATCTACCTATTAGACTATTAGATAGAAGAGTTATATGTCGGTTATTCACTAATAACTAGTCTGTGGTATGGGAAGTCTATAAATAGAATAGTCTGGGAAGGGGGAAAGAGGCTTTTGGACTTTAGGTCCGGGACTGGGAAGATTAGAGATTATTCATCTCTTCTCTTTGGGGCTTCGGCCTTGTTACTGTTACTATTCATCTTCTTCAATAAACATTTTCAGTTTGTTTCTTGATCTTTTTTCTGTAAATCTTTCTGGAATCTTGGGGTTCTATCATTGGTATCAGAGCATACTTCCTGGGGACCGAGAATTTGAATCATGGAAGAATTTTGTACACCAGAAATGGAAAAGAGGATGGAGTCGCTAGAGCGGGAGCAGACATGGATGATGAAGAAGTTAACAGAAATGAGAAAGATGGCGGAACAGTTGAACAGACAGCTAGTGGCGATGAACAAAATTCAGGCGAGAAGGAGTTCGAAGAGCAGATCGCACAGTTCACATCGCTCTTCGCAGAGTTCGTTGCGTCGCTCTTTTCATCGCTCGTCGATAACTGACAAAGTAAGTTCGTCACAATCGTTCACCAAGTCGCTGTCGGAATCGCGAACCACTTCTTTTGGTTCGAAATCGCGAACTTTTACGCACCTTTCACAATCGCGAACAGAGTCTTTCCTTACGCAAAATGATTCAGCGGCTATTACTTCACATCCAGGGAAGAACCGATTGAGAGGAGAATCTTCAATTTTGTCTCTGGACTATTCTTCCAATTCACAGGCATCTTCACTTGCGGAAATTCATAACTCGTCAACACAGGCCCATTCTCTCGATCGTTCACAAGTGTCTACGCAGTCGTTACCTGATTCTTGGAGTTCTTTGGTTGGGTCGCATCACCCTGAACAAGAAGTGAATACATACACTCCAACAAAGTCAGCCTATGATAGCGGCTCAAGAAGCAAGGACCAAGAGCAAGGAAAGTGGGCAAACTCTTCGGGCTATGGTATGATAGGGGATTACTTAACTGGGAAATCATTTTTGCAAATTGCAGAAGTACAAGAAGTACAATTGCAACCATGGGTTGAGAGAAGGCTAGGCGAACCCAAGCTTGACTTACATAATCCATTTAAAGCACCTTCAGTTCAACAATTGGAGACGAAAGAGGAATTTGTGAAAGAAATAGAAAATGTTGATTCATCAAATAACCTCAAAGCTCTAAAGGTGCAATATCCTTCATCAAAGGGAATGTTGGAAGAGAAGAATCAGATTGAGGACTTCAAAATTGAAGGTGTGAATTCTATGGAATATATCCTAAAGGGATTGGGAGTGGTAGGATTAACTGGGAAGGATAAGGAAAAGATTAAGGAAAAGACAGTAATCTGTATAAGTGTTCCCGTTGGGGGTGTAGTTTGTGACCATCAGTTTCAGATGGCTAGCGCCAGTAAAGGAATCAAGGCTGCGGATGATAAGAAATATGATATAGTAGGGGTAGTCTACATTGAAACTCTTGTTGTTGGGTTATGGCAGGCCATTGATGATGGAAATCCAGTTTTTATGACCACCCTACTAAGAGGTTCTTCCAACTGTTTGACTGAAGTTTGTATGTGTACCCGTGAAAAGGTTAAAACTGGTTTGCTCTGTGATCCATTCAGAGCTGTAAATCCTCAGATTATGTTTGCCTTAGGTGAGAGAATACAGAATTATAATGAAGATCTTTGTAAGAAAGTTACTGTTGCTCTTTATGAGGTTCCTGGGATGGATCCAACTGAGGTCAATTCTTTTGAAAAGATGTGGGAACAAAAACTAAGAATTCTACAGGAGATGCAGAAACTGGGAGAATCTTACGACACCAAAGGGGATTATGCCACCATGTCTTTACTTATGCTCTTTCCTGCTGAGGACTGGAGAATGAAAATTCAAGTGCCAAAGCTAAAATCACAGAATTCAGAAATGTACTGGGAAGGAAGAGGCATCATAATGAAGATGAAGCTGTTAGTGACGGCTGTTTCCTATCACCCACCTTGAGGGCAAGGTGGATGTTTAGGAGGGGAGTATTGATAGGGATCTACCTATTAGACTATTAGATAGAAGAGTTATATGTCGGTTATTAACTAATAACTAGTCTGTGGTATGGGAAGTCTATAAATAGAATAGTCTGGGAAGGGGGAAAGAGGCTTTTGGACTTTAGGTCTGGGACTGGGAAGATTAGAGATTATTCATCTCTTCTCTTTGGGGCTTCGGCCTTGTTACTGTTACTATTCATCTTCTTCAATAAACATTTTCAGTTTGTTTCTTGATCTTTTTTCTGTAAATCTTTCTGGAATCTTGGGGTTTCTATCACAATCATATTTCCGGGTCGCTCTCCGGTCAGGTTCTTTAAACATAGTTTAAAACCTCTAAATTTGCATTCAAAGCCCCAAATTTTGGGTGCAATGTTTGGGGGTGCAAATGTTTAATCTATAAACAACCCACTTTCGGGGATTTGGTTTGCAAAGTCAGATGGTTTAAAGATTGGGATGAAAAGTCCAATATCGAAGTAAAAATGGAATTCAAACTCAATTTATAACTCTTATACATTAATAATCCCGGTCCAATTTTATATTTTCTTTTTTTCTTTTTTTCTTTTATCTTCTTTATCTTTCTATGTTCTTATGTTATGTTTATATTTCTTATGCTCTTGTATCTTTTTATCTTTTATCTTTCTAATGTTCTTATATTATTTTTATCTTGTATTCATCTTTATCTTATCCATTTATTGTATTTTATCATTTTATTCTTCTTATCTTTCTTCTCTTTTTGGCTCTGATATCATGGATCTATTCATGTTGTTTTTGTTGTTGTTGAGCAAAACTTCTTCCATCTCTAGTATTTGTTTCTTGATCCTTTTAGGCAGATAAAAAGCATGGATGGATCGAAGTACCTTTCGATTGCATATTTACATTTAATGTCAGCATTTCTTCATTATCTCATGGTTTGTAAAGCATCAGAATAAATATTCTTAATGATTTTTTCCTAACTACAATACACTGGATTTCAAATTCAGTCTTATTATTTTCCTAAATAGTTTATGTTCTACTTCATCTCTATTCCATTCTATGTAATAAAAAGCCATTATTTTTATCAATTCACTCTTACCTCACCTCTCCCTCTATTGAGCCAAACTGAATACACCCGAAATGGAAGAAAGATATTTTTTTCTTCGGTTGATAAAGCCCAATATTTAGATATGCACGTCTCACTTCATCTCATACATTGATAAGATATTCATGAATTTGTTTCATTTTCCCTGATCTCTTTCAATGGAAAAGGATGGAGGCAACTCCAAATTTGAGATAATTTGGAACCTCATTGAGTATATCTTGCACTATCGAAGTATAGGTATAGAACTCCCTTCACCACTTTGACGATTCACTTTCGGAAAGAATTATAAAATCAACTTCTTTCCTTTCTTGGCAATATGTTCATTATACATTCTAAAAAGCATTTTCAATATTGATATAAATTAAAATACTTCTATGCAATTATAAAACTAATAAAGAAAAAAATCGTTGTACATAAAAGTATAAAATTAATAAGTATTCTCAATTTCAAAATTCAATAAATTGAAATTCTTTCAATTCTTTCTTACATGTCCACACAATAAATAAATCATTCTCTAATCTTCAATTGTATACTAAATAAATCATTCTCTAATCTTTAATTCTATCTTTTTTTTGGTGATTCTTTAATTCTATCTTTAATAATTATAATTTATAATGAATTAAACACTATTTCATAATGTACTGCAAAATTCAATTAATAATCAAATGGATTCCCTAACCATAAAACTTTAAAAGGCTAAAAATAATACTACCTCCGTCCCAATAAACTTTGACCAATTATTTTAACTACTAGTAATACACAATAACACAAAGTCACAAGATTCTGTCAAAAAAAAAACACAAAGTCACAAGATAATAGATTAAAATTCTAAAAGAGAATTAGAATTAGAATATACCTGGAGCAGTGGAGCTGAAGGCAGAGCCGGAGTCTGGAGAGGCGGAGAGGAAGGAAGGACGGCCACGCAGGTCACTGGACGCAAGCAGCGGCGCGGTTGGTAGCCTGGTGTTCACGTCTTCGTCGCAGGTCGCAGGTCGCAGCTTCTTCGTCGCAAGCTCTGAAGCTCCGTCTTCGTTCTTCTACTTTCCTTCTTCAGTTCTTCGCACTTCTGCCAGTTCGCATAAAGGAGGCGCGGGTAAGGTGAAGTATGGGCTGGGCTGCGCTGGGAATTAATTTTGGGGTGGTATGGGAATTAAATTGTGGAAATTACCCGTAGGGTAATTCTAATGGCAGCCCTAATTTTTCTAAGGGAGTGTTTGCAATAGCTTAAAAAAAGCATTTCTCAGCTTTTTGCTTAAAAAAGCACTTATTTACCAAACACTTTTAATTTTTACTTTTTCTCGACTTGCGTGTGAAAAGTGTTTTTCCCTTTTCTATTACACAAAAAGCACTTATTTTACCAAACACTATCAACTTTTACTTTTCAAAATCACTTTTTTCTCAAACACTATCAACTTTTACTACTAATCACTTTCTCAAACACTATCTTGCTCGCTGAGGAGGTAATGCTTTCGTACACATTCTATTGATCTTCCCGTCAGTATCAAGTGAATCTAAATATTAACCAGTTACCAGGGTTGATTGTCCTGTGTCTACAGATAGAAGATATGTGCACAGTTGGATGCATTAGAGATGTCTTAAAATGATATAGGTAAATATGAATACAAATGTAAAGACATGGTAATTTATGTCAAATAACATATACAAAAATGTTTTTTAAATTGAACTATTAATTTATATGTTTAACCTGTTTTTGTTTCACAGTTTACATATGATAATGGGTCAATGAAGTGTGGTCATTCAACAAGAACAATTTTGAGAAGAGAACTAGGTGGGTAAATTAAGAATAAAAAAATTATGCTTAATGTTTAATGAGAACTCCCAACCAAGAGCATGCCCTGTTAGATTACAGAATATATAACATAATACGGAGTATAATTTAATATAATATACTTCGTAGATAATACTACGTATACTTCTATTATAACTAATGTATAGTGTTAGGCCATGTATATGAAATTTGTAGGGTATGGAAAATGTCAAATCATTGAAACTTATTACCGAATATACCTCTTCCCACAGAGACGGTATGTAGAAGAAAAAAGCACTCCGCACATATGAGGCAGAAACATACTTGCAAGGAGTTGACTGATGAAGAAGGTATACTTTTGTATCTGTAAATATGCATAATTTACAAGATCAATACACGAATCCAGTCAAAGACATTAATAGAGACATTACAATTACTGTATGAATTCTACTCATTAAGATGAGTTCATGTTCATGTTCAACATATCACATAATAGATAACATTTGGAAGCATGTATCATTAAATATCATAGAATAAGATATACACATATTTATTTTCAAAAAAAAAAGATATACACATATTTAAACGGAGATATTATTTATCACAAAATACATACTCTACGTTAAATCCAGAATTTCACAATCGTTTGCATTTGAAATAACAATGGGTATAAATCATTTTCACAATGTTAAATCCAAAATTCATGTTCAACTATTTAATAAACATCATCTTTAATGAAAAAAGATGAATTGGAAACTAAAATATGGATGATAGACTATCCCATATATAGATTGCAATCCAGATACATATATCGTACAAATTGTATATAAGTAGACTTATATTTGACATTTTAATTTGGTACTGCCTATATCATTTTCTTGAGATAATGATATGATAATGTCATTATGCCAAGCATATTATTTATTATACTAACTTACAAATCAAGTACGGAGTATATATTTATCAATGTCCATCAAATACGACATATACACATTTAATACTTTTACAGATTTCTGTACCAAACCGTTGGATCTAATTAGCGTAGATATTATTCAGAATTTCAGATGACATGTACCAAAAAAACGTTGATACTCCTATGTCTATCATAAAAATTTATAATAGATTTAGTAAAATATAAGAACTAAATATTATAATGAATTTAAGGAAATCTGAATTTATACAGACCCACACATATCACAATCTTGAGTCATGCACACAATATCAAAACTGATACAAACATAATAAGTGATATAGATGCAAAAAAAATCAAAATAAAGAAGGAGATGTAAGGGATATACCCAAATTCCGATATTTTAGTAGGTCATGGCTTGAGATTCATCGATCTGCTCTCAGCCAATCGGATGGTTGGATGGTCCGCCGCACTTCTTTCACCGGAGAACAGGAACCTTTCGCCATACCACCGAAATAGTCGGATAAGAGGACAATAGTCAAGATAATAAAAGTAAAAAAAAGGCTTAGACCTGCGCTAAAGAACTCATCGGATGATTTCTTTAGATGAGTTGTACGGATGAAATAAAGTGGCTGCAGGGAAATGCTATGTTATATAGTGTATACGTTAGGTTTTTGCAATGGGCCAGTTTAAATGGTGAGTGATAGTGGGCTTAGTTGAGCTGGGGTCATATGGACTGATAAGGAAATTGTCTAAACTGTCCAAAATAATACTCCCTCCGTCTCTTAAAACTTTGTCATCTTTTCTTTTTGAGACGTTCCAAAAAATTGTCACTTTCCTTTTTAATCAATTATTTTGTTGTTTCTGTTATTTCTCTCTCCTCTGCACAAACCTCAACCACACAATTTTTACTTTATTATTCTCCGTGTCAATCAACTTTGGCAAAGTTTTAAGGGACGGAGGTAGTAATTTATTAATCCTTCTGTATCATTATAATTGTCTCATTTTTTCTTTTCATTCGTCCCACTAAATCTTTCTCATATTATCTCTGTCTTGAAAAAGTTCATCCTATTGACCTTTGTTGGTCGATGATTGCAAGCATTGAACAATGATTTTAATTATTATTTTATATATAATTTATAAATTTTATAATTTTATGAAATTATTTTGAATAAGGAATACTTTGACATACTTTTCATATTCAAAATAATTTCGTATTAAGAAATATAATTGGTCAAATTGATTGTCATTGATCGAGAAAACTCAATTTAGCGAATCTTTTTGGGATGGAGACAATCTCATACTTCGCAATATTTGTGTGGCTTTGTTCATTCTTATTAAGCATTTAAAACAATATCATAATATTCTAAAATATAGTTTTCATAATATTAAAATACTCCGTATATAGTAATATTTGTTATTTGTATTGTAAATTAGTTTATACTACCTCCGTCCCTTTTTATTTAGCAAAAATTTGACTTTTCCAGTCAAAGATGATAAATTTTGATCCATTATTTTAACTAATATATATATATATGTGTGTGTGTGTGAAATTTAATAAATTTATACTTTTATGATAGTGCGTTCAACAAAGAACATTTTCATATTATCAATATTACCGTGTATAAATATATAAGCGGCCAACGTTGAGCATCATTGACTTGGAAAATAGCGATTGGCTAAATAAAAAGGGACGGAGGGAGTAATATAATATGGCACGATTTTCATATTAAAATAGATATATTACATATTTTTTTCTTTTTAAGGTAGTAAAATTGCATTTATGGTTCAAAAGTTTTTTAAAATTGAAAATATGTTTTTTTGGAAAAAAAAATAAAAACCGGGATTTTCTGGGTTTCTCGGGGTTTTCCGGGTCAATCAGGTTTTCCCGAGTTTTAACTAACCAAACAAGGTTTTGGACCAGGTTGACCCAGCCCGATCAGGCCAGTTTTGTAAACATAGCTAAAAGTGTTAACAAATAATATCATATACTACGGATAGTTATTACGTAGTATTTATTTATGTCCCGTGCATCGCACGGGTGAAAATCTAGTATGCATAATGTTAATTTGAACATTTTATTATTAAGTGGTGTTTTAAATATTTTGAGGTAAACATGAGTTTACAACACTATTTGTTTTATGCACCGTTTGTTAACATAAATTTTAATAAACAACATTTAGTAACCCTGAAATAAACGTGTCCTTAATAAAAAACGAAGAGAGTATTCAGGAAAAACAGAGTTTTTACCCGAAATAATGCTAATTAAATAAATAATTTCCAAAATTTTGCGGGGTTAAAAATAATTCCCAAAATAGTGTTGGGTTAACCGTGGTTAAGGAAATCCGCCACTTGAAGTGGCGGCCCTTCTCTTACAGTACAAAAGCCGCCACTCCAAGTAGCGGCTCTTCTCTTACATCACATTTTGTACATATATAAAATGCAGTATGTTTCAACAATTTTTTTAACTATCTTCCCGATTGAATTTTGAGCTGAAATTTGGTATAAATAAACTAGACTTGATGAGGAACAAGCTAAAAAAAATTCATCAAAAAAATTCAGCGGGAAAACCCTCTGATGGTGTAGTCCGCACAGGGGTTCCGGTCAGGACGTCGTGACAGGAATGAGACATTTTTATGAAATTTGAGTTGCTTCTGAGTCGAATTTTTTGATAAAATTTGGTGATCGTGTTCTTCCTAAAGTTTAGGTTATGCTCACTGAATTTTAGATTAAAATTAAATCAAGAAGTTACTGAAATAATTTATTGAAAAAAGCATTTTTAGACCTAAAAAATTATACGATTTTTAAAAATGTATTTAACTAACTTCCCGATTGAAATAATCTACATTCCATAGGAACATGATCACCAAATTTCATCAAAAAAATTCGACCCGGAAATAGTTCAAATGAAATAGGCCTAAAATTGCAACTTTTAGGCCTACCTTACATGAACATTTCAGAAGGCACATGACAATTTTTTTGCCACATAAATTTTAGAAATTATGCAACTAGATCGTTTGGTATATTATTTCCCGCATTATTTTGCGGGGTTAAAAATAATTCCCAAAATTATGCTAATAAATTTTTTTGCCCATATTACTTTTCTTCTTTTAAAAGGCGGAACTTGCACATACCCTTACCATTTTGAGCAAGCAGTATGCAATGATGTAACCCCCACCCCTCCCTCAATGAGATGATTGCCCATAGCAGTGTTTATCGTATATAAAAAGAGAGAAAATGGTTGAAAAAATACACATTCAATTTAAACAATTACCATACGCATATCCTGTAGATCAGCAGATAATTAAAAAACAGAACTTTTCACAACAACCAGAGTCAGCAGTTTGTTACTCTTATCCCATTTTTCTGAAGCTAAAAAGAAAAACAAAGATCTACTTCATATTCATCAAGAAAAAGAAATACCCCGTTCTTGGCTTCAACAGGGTGCTCATCATCAACATGGCAGCACAATCCAACAACATCGTAGTATTCAGAACAAAAGGGGCATGGAAACTCCTCTCTGACATCATCTTCCACTATGTCGGTTTCCTCGAATCCTATCAACATTTCCGAATCGATTCCATCCCATCTCATCCCTAGCACAAGACACATAAACAAATGGATTCCAAATAAATAAATAAAATCCCAGAAAAATAAAATAAAAAAATCCCAGAAAGCATTATATCCCTCCACGCAAAAACAAAAGGGATAAAAGGTCAAAGCTTTCGTTCATTGAATTTCCAGGAAGGCGCATGTGAAAAACGAGGAGCTCCAGGTGAAAAGACCAGATATTGCACAAAAACCCAAAGAAAGGAGCAGGAAAACATACCAGATCGAGACTGGGAAGCAGATTGATAGCGCCTGGAAGTAGAGGAAAGACGAGCGGCCCAAGAATCAGCATCCATGGTTACTGATAAGTGTTGATAAATTATCGAGGAAAAATTGCAGAAGCCAATCGAATCAGTGAACCAGAGAAGACGACGATGCAAGAGAGAGAGGCCCGTGAAATGAAAATCCCACCTAAGAAGGACGGGTGCTGTCTTCCACACAGCTTTTATTATTCTCTGTATGCAGTAATGAAGTATAGTAAAAAAAAAAAAGGCAGTGCTTTATGTGTGATACGCTATTTCCCACTCGTTAAGATACATTTTCCCATCTCGATTTTGATATGATATCTAATTTTATCTTTAAAGTGGTCTTATCTATTTGGGTTATTTGGATCTGATTCTCAAACTGATTCTGCTCCTTCAGGGAGCAAAAGTAGAAGCTAGAGTGTTTGGGTGAAATTTCAGAAGCACTTCTGGTGCTCTAATTTACTCTAAGAATCAGTTTATTTAGAAGTTGGGGGGTACCAACTTCTGAAAACTGATTCTGATTCTGCTTCTATTTTATAAAAGAAACAGAAGCAGAATCAGTTCCAAACACCCCTTGGTTTGATGTGGTAAAAAAATCTATTTGGTTTGATGTAATAATGGAGTATTACGAAATGCCGTAATAAATACTCCCTTAATCCTTTAAAAAATTCACTCTTCTTTTTAAATAATGATTTATTTGTAGTTGTTTATTATTTTTCTCTCTTCTGCATAAATCTTAAATCTACTTTATTAATATTAATTAATGTCTCATTCTTCCAAAGAAGATCACGTGTCATTCAAACATGGTAAAGTTATAAGGGACATGGGAACTATAATATTCGTCATGTCCCATATTAGTCTTCCAAATAGCTTTGCATGTGGATTAAGAAAGTGAAAATTATGTGGTGCAGAGTTGTGCAAATGAGAGTGAACTGATATGAACCATGAATTCCCTGCCATAAAATCAAAATGAAGATTATTTTTTAAAAAAAGTTGAAAGATTAATATGGGACATATTGAGCACTTATTACTTCCCCTTAACTATGTAGACCTTTTTTACTCAATTTATAAGTGAATTGGTAGGGATAGCAAACAATGTAAAAAAATACCGTATAAACAAAGAATAGGAGAGAGTATATAGTACTACGGGCTTGTTTGCAACCAATTAAAAAAAGTGATTTTGGCTTTTTTTTAAAGAAAAAAGCACTTATTTTTTCAAACACTACCAACTTTTACTTCCTCGATTTTCGTGTAAAATCTACTTTTTACTCTTTCTATTACACAAAAAGCACTTATTTTACCAAACACTACCAACTTTTACTACTAATCACTTTTTCCCCAAAAGTGCTTTTATTTAAGCACAAGTGGTTGCAAACAGAGCCTACATCTATTCCATTTTATGTGTCCCATTTGGTTTTGACACAATTTTTAATAAAAGTGGATGAAAAGGTAAAAGTTGTAATTGAGATCTGAGTATAGTAAAGTGAAATATTGTGAACTATAATTTTTTTTCCAAAAACAGAAAGGTGACACTTATTTTGGGACAACCCAAAAAGGAAAGTAAGACAGATAAAATGAGACGGATAGAGTATTTTCAAATTATTGTTTGCTATAGTTTGATTTGACACAATTTTTTAGGAAAACCCCGTATGAGTAATGAATAATATATAAAGAATAGTAGAGTGAAAAATATAAAAGAGAATATGAGAAGTAGAACATCTAAGGATAACTAAATATTTTTAAAGGAAAAATTAGTAAAAAGGAAAAATGTAAGAAACAAAAATATTTCTCAAAATGAAAAGTGTAACAAAGGAAAGAAATAGGTTTACAGGTTCTCGGTATTATTAGACGAAAGTCTATCAAAAAGAACAATATTACAAGTATAAAAATGATTCTGTAAGGAAAAGTGTTACGGAGTATAAGGAAGGATATTAAAAAATAAAAATGAAAACAATGTCACCATTTTGACTCAGGAAATAAAAGTAAATAGGTTTTTTTTTGTCGGTTAATTCATGTTTAATTAGTTGAGCATTAAAATCGTGACTTGATATGGAGCTAGCATTGACTTGGTAGAGCTGATAGTGATTTGTGTGATGGCGTGATTACCACCCAAGAGGCCGAGAGTTGGATTTGCAATTTGTGAATTGTGAGTCGATCAATACTCCACCCGAGAGTATGTTGTGTGGGGCGATATTAGGGGCGTCTTTCCAAATACTTCCCTCCAGACTAGATCAAAGTTAGAGAGCATTTAGGGTGTTTGGATCTGATTCTCAAAACTGATTCTGCTTTTTCAGGGAGTAGGAGCAGAAGCTGAAGTGTTTGGGTGAAATTCCAGAAGCACTTCGGGTGCTCTAATTTACTCTCAGAATCAGTTTTTTTAGAAGCTGGGGGGGGTACCAGTTTCTGAAAACTGATTCTGATTCTACTTCTGCTTTAAAAAAGAAGCAGAAGCCGAATCGGTTCCAAACACCCCTGAGAATTGATCTTGCTTTTGCTTCTTTATTTTTTGGTCGATGCTTTTGCTTCTTTCTTAAAGCAGAATTATAATATCGGTTTTAAAAATCTGGTCTCTCCAGCTTCTAAAAATTGTTTCTATGAGTCATTTAAAAATCTGGTCTCTCCAGCTTCTAAGCATTAGAATTACGTCTGCACTTTTAGCCAAACACTCCAATATTTGATTCGCGAATTTCATTTTGTTATATTAAGCGGTCAGCAAATAAGCCTACTCATTTGTTAGCTAAAGTGGCTTGTTCTTTGTCTGATTCGCAGTCTTAGGTTTATTCTCCTCCTGATTTTATTGTATCGGCTTTGGCCAATGATTTGATTAATGATAATTAAGTCTATCTCTTTAAAAAAAAGTCTCAATTGCGATAGGTTGGTCATGTGCATAGAAGACTGGGTGATGCGCCTATTAGACGATTTGAGAGATGGAGACAAAAGGTGGAGAGGAGAGGGGGATGAAACCCCAAATAGATGACTTGGATTAGAGGAATCAGAATTGATATGTTTCTTATTGGGTTGGATGGAAGAGTATAACTTGGGGGGGGGGGGGAGGGAGGGAGGGAGGGAGGGAGGGAGGGAGGGAGGGAGGGAGGGAGGGAGGGAGAGAGAGAGAGAGAGAGAGAGAGAGAGAGAGAGAGAGAGAGAGAGAGAGAGAGAGAGAGAGAGAGAGAGAGAGAGAGCAAAGTGGAGGGGGGGGGGGAGAGCAAAGTGGAGGGAACACATTCGTGTGGATGATTGATCTATTTTCTCTCTCTTTTCTCTCCTTTTCTTTTATCGTTTATCTTCTTCTTTTTCTCTATGTTCTTTGTTATTTTTATCTTTTATCTTTATTATGTTCTTTTATCTTGTTATCTTTTATCTTTCTCATCTTATTCTTATTTTATATTTATCTTTATCTTATACATTTTATTGTACTTTTTTCTTCTTCTTATCTTTCTTCTCTTTTTTACTTTGATATCATGAATCAATTCATGTTAGTCGGCCCCAATATTTTTTTGGAAATAACGCTTGTTTGTTGTTGTTATTGTTGTAGTATTATTAGTTACTTTTGTTTGTTATCACACAAATTTTTATTAACGAAGAAATGTGTATTAATCTAAACTATACCTTAGATCACAGATAGTATTCATCTATTTTCAAAAAACTAATCACAAAACTTGAAACTTTAGAGCATATATTCCTTTGTTTTAAAACAAAATATAATAATTTATTTTAAGTTATTTACCATCAATAAAAAATCTAATAAAAAAGAAAATGATCATTTTCTTGAGGCTACACTTTGTATATTTTATACATAAACTTATGTGTTTAAGTATTTTAAGAAAATGAAAATGGAAACTAATAATCCAACCTTTTAGCGGTCTTCTTACAATAGTCCCACATTTTCGTTATTCATGAATAATCCAACCTTTGCACCTCATCTTCATTCACTGGACCCTAACCGGTTAATGACCTGCTATTCCAAGTTATTTTCTTATCTTTACAAAATATTATCTTTGTGAGAGGTGAGATTTATGGTATAATAGTTTGCAAAGATAAGAAAAAAACTTGGAATAGCACTCAAGCATTGAAGCTAGTTGGCTTTGAATTTCTCTATCACAAAGCCCACTCGACAACTACCTTCTTCTCGGTGGACAGAAGCTCTTTGTCTTCGGATTTCCCCGTCATCATCGCATCAGAAACCAAGGCGTGGGATCCATAGTTTTTTTTTTGTCATACCAACTTTAATTCAAACACCTGGAAAAGGGAAAACTTTGAAATCAAAAAAATAAAATTGCATAAAAGACTACGATGGACATGGAGGTGGTGGAGTTCGTGAACCATCTGAGCTCCTTCATCGACATATTTCTGGACAAGTTCATTGCCAATGACACGATTGAAGCTAGCTCATGTTCTATTAGAAATTGCTCTAACCAATAGTGTTTTCCTTGTTCCAAGTGGGCCAAAGCAGAGGACTCCGTTGGGTGGGAGAGACAATGTTTTAGAGGCTTGGAATGATGGTGGCATGCACTGATGTGGAGCGCAGAGATGAGGGACGATAGAGTAGTGTGGCTCATAGTAATAAAGATAAGAAAATATAAAAGACAACTAAAATAATTTAAAATTGTGACGTGGCTATAGGCCAATTTATGATATGAATGGATTAATGTAGTCACATGGGTTCCACATGACTGCTTTATCTGGACATACTAGGCAGTCATCGAATAAATAGTCATTTTGAGTGTTTTTTAAATTTATGGACTTGATTGAGTGACAATTTAGTACGAGAATTTGATTAACTTTTTTTGCAATAATACGAGGACTTAATTGATTGTTTTTTCAACACTAAGTAAGATTATGATATACTCCTCCTATCAAGTTGACCTTTTAGGATAAAACTCCAAGTCTTAACATGGTATCAGAGCAAAATTCGGTTGTTGTTTGACTGCTTATTCAACACTCATGATTAAGGGGTAACTTGTTAAGAGTTTGTTTGGCTCAATCATACACCTCAAATTGTCAAACCTGATTTGAGTTGAAGGTGCGCGCGTGTCAAAGTATTTGTCTCGCAGCAGATTGCTATAAAAGAATAAAATACTATAAAAGATCATGTGATAATTCTCCTATAAGGTTGACCTTTTAGGATGAAACTCAGGTCTTTACATATACATTTTTTTTATTCATGAAGAACAAAGAGGATAAAATATTCATGAAGAATATAGAGGATAA